TATCAGATTACATAGTGTGTTAGTCCAGGTAGACAAGAGAAACAAATCCATAGACATTAATGTATGTATAAGAAAGAGCTTTATATAAAAGAGTAAGAAAACATCCCAGTCCAGTCCAAGTCTTTAAGTCCAATATTAGCCCATATGTCTGATACTAGACTATAGATTCCTCATCAGACTCACACAGTCATGCGATGATGCCAAATACAGGAATATTATGGGCCAGTGGGTGGAAAGTCTTGTTGATTCAGTGGCGGTAGAAGTGGCTTTTCAACAGGAATGTCTTGCAGGGAGAGAGTGTATCTAGCCTTGTCGGAGCCTGCCGACAAATGGTCCTGAAAGGGGGAGTGAGGATTAAGGAAAAAAAGAGAGACAGAAAGTATTGGGAGGGCAACAGTGAATACTGAAGCCCCGAGTTTATTCTACATCTTCCTTTTAGACATACAGAAACAACCCGGGGTTACAATTAGTCTATTATCACAATATATCAGAAACTACATATTCTGCCAAGTCAAGGAGTCTTTGATAAAAATTAAACATTCTGTTTTCCCAGAACTTGCATACATCTTTGTTCTTTATCTTAGTCTCAATGTCAAACCGCAGCCGCAAACAGCAGATACTGACACCTGGGTTGATATCTTCTCAACCATTTCAAGGCTGTGGCCTTCAACATAGTCTCCAGTAAGCTATTTATCTCCTTTGTGCCTCCAAATGAGGTCATCAAGCTGCCATCTGATTGACAGACTAGACTCCACCCCTTCACAAGTTGACAGATTATGTAAGGGCCACACATGAATTCAGATAGCATTCTGTGAGCACACATTGTAACGTCTTTGTACTGTGCTAGAAATCTTGGTTACTAAAGTACAGTGCTAAAATAAATAGAGATCTGTTTGTATGCTACTTAATGAAATTATAATTGGTAATTTAATTCCTCTTAAGAATGTTTCTGCACAATTTATTCTTTAAAGGATACAGTTTAAAAATGCATTCCATAATTGTTTACAGAGGGCTTCAAATTTAAAAACTAACAAATTTTGCAGACTTAGATGTCCCATCTAAAGTCATCAATAAGAGCTACAAAATTCCTTCTCAACTCTCAAAATTGTATCATCTTTGGTTCATATTAATTTGGAAAATAGTGTTCCAAAGCCCTCTCCCATTATTCCTTAGGTCTCAACTTAAGCCACATTCCCTTTAGAGCAGGGACAAGTGTCCACCACACATGCTTTATTAAAGGTTTCTGGGTCTCTTGCTTATTCCATCTGAGCGTATGGCTCATTCTGTGAAGCTTGACTGTAGCCTCCTGCAGCCACCACTGGTTGGAACAGAAAACTATACATTTTTTTTGCTGTCTATCTAGGTGCCAAGCTTGATGGATTGCTTAGTTTAAAAACATGGTGCCACCCGAACTGTAGTGACCACTCAGAGAAATATTTTTCCAAAGTGGTAGTTTCCCAAGAATATTCCATCCAAAAACTCATCCTTAGCTTTTCAGTATTTCATGAACCTAATCTTTCAGCAGTCTGATTAGTAGGGACACCTGGTAACCAAATAAGTGCTTCATTTCCACTTGCTACAGCACACGTAGTTTAAAGGGTGTTAATTGGCTGTTTTGAGCTTTTATGTGGTGGGCATATACCTGAGGGCGGAGAGAATGGAAAGATAACAGAACGCAGATATAATATGGAAGACAGATACTGGCTGCATTATCATGTTCAAAGTTCCATACCAGTGGCTTTAGAAAATGTTACAGAACTCTGAGAAAAGAATGGTCGATGCCCCTGGGAATAGTTGCATAGAGTTTCATAGAAAAGATGAATTACATTTGAACTCACCTAGGAAGGTTCATTGACTATGGGTTCAAAAACAAACAAACAAACAAACTATATATAAATATTATTGTGATCTTTACCTCTGATTCAGCAACACTGATGAGTTAACAGCATTGCACGAAGTGAGGTAGTATATGTAAACATACTTTTTGGTAAGCTTTAGGCACCAGAATAAGTGCTGCTACTGCTCTTTGCTGTTTGAGGTCTGAAGGCGTGAACTTTTGCTCCTGCTGAGCAATATGGCTGAGCTTAGAGGAGGGCTGGCAGATGAGAAGGGGGGACACTTCAAAGAGCAGTGTATTTGCCTCAGCGCAGCGCATGCCATGGCTTTCTTTAAAAACAAATTAAAAAGCTATTTTTTCCCCTTAGTGGCTAAACAAGTAATAGAATTTATTATTCTGTTGATGCTGTAGAAAATGTTGTGATGGCTAGAACATCATTATTGTTTCCTGCAGACTTCGTTGAATTATTTAATCCAACGAAGTTGGATTATTTAATCACCTGGGTGAGCAGGTGGGGGAGATACTGATCGGATTCTGTTGTGAGTGCTTGCTAAAGGGACTCATTGTGAGTGCCGTCCCCGGGGTATAAAATAGGCAATCTGAGCAGCAGGAGGGGGCCTCTCTACCAGCAAGAACCATGTGCAAGACCATGCCCTCCGGACCCTGAGGTCCCTGTGCAGGGAAACTCCTTGATCCAGAAGACATCTGTGACTTCAGAAGTGTGACAGAGGGGCAGCAGCAGAACCGGGAGTCAGAACACGAGACAGAGTGGTGGGCTTCCCAGCCCACAGAGCAAGTACAGCTCACTGCTTTGGGGCAGGGGGCTGGTTAGTGCAGTGGGGTGCCTCTGGACATTTAATTCAGGGGCTTGGGTTTGCTGAATGCCTCCAGGTTGTGGCATACAGCCAAGTGGCATGCTCTTAAGACATTAGCTAACCAACCTGTCCTGACCGAACAATTGTATCCTGAGCATTTCTCACCTGACTTGTAACCTGTTCCCTTCCATAATAGACTCCATAACCATGAGCATTGTCTGTGAGTTCTGTCTGGCCACTGCAATAAATTACAGAACCTCACTGAAAAAGTAGAGTGCTGTAGCAGACAGAGCAGTTTATTAAAACCTGACTCAAGACCTGAAATCTCTTGTGAGAGTTGTTAAGAGTGGTAGTAGTTGTTGTTGTTAGGTGCCGTTGAGTCCGTTTGGACTCACAGCGACCCCGTGTACAGCAGAATAAAAAAGTGCCCAGTCCTGTGCCATCCTCACAATTGTTCTTAATGTCTGAGTCTGTCCCTGCAGGCCCTGTGTCGATCCATCTTGTTAAGAGTATGGACCAGTAAAACAATGACCCTAGCAGATGAAAATGCAATGTAATATGCAATCTGGGGTGTTTTTTTTTTGTTTTGCAGTCTAGTTTATTTCACTATTTTGACGCTGTGAGTGGGATTGACCATGGAGCTGACTACCCTGCCTGTCTTAACTTCAGACTTGGTTTAGCTGCCCTAATATTAGTCGTGGACCACATACCAGAAACTCATTCTCCTTGGGCCTAGAACCAATGGATCTAGTCTTGTGTCCACCCACATCATTTGAGGAATGCCATTTCTGACTGAATAAAGTTTCTGAGGCAACAGTCAAAACTACCTGATACATCCCTCACCCAGCTTTTGTCTCTCCCGGAAGCCTGAATGAGGGTTCTGTTTACAGTGAAAGGTTTGACTTAAGGACTGACTGACTAGAATACTGCCATCCTGCTTTAATTGGAGTTCGTAGCTCCCCCGATCATAGACCAGAGGAAGAGTTGCCTTTCAGACCGGGACTCATGGCTCTCCCTTTCGTGTTGAAGTAAGAATGCGATCAATAAGTTTTCAGTGGCTGGTTTCTCAGACATGGATCACCAAGGTTTTCTTCTCAGGTGCCGCTGGTAGACGCAAACTGCCAGCCTTCCAGTTAGAAGCCAATTCCACCCTAGGTGAAAAGAAATCTGACTATCCTGAGTGCTTTTCTCCCTTGTGTGAACATTCTGTAGCTCTCAAGGAAGTGCCTAGGGAGAATATTTGCATATTTCACATATAAAATTACTGTAGCTAGAAAACTGATGAATTCTTAAAAATAGAATTAGTATGCCAGGGATATTGTAGGTGAACTGTTCTAAAGGGGACTTTTATTTTAGATAGGGTAATAATATATTTTAGAGGTGTACTTGCAGTGCAATTTTTACTGCTGTGATACCGAGAAACACCTTAATCCTTGTTGAAATCTTATTTGAGGGATGTGCTGCCCGTTAGTCCAAAAGTTCAGGTAAGATTTTTTTTAAAATCATTTTATTGGGGGCTCTTACAACTCTTGTTACAATCCATACAACAATTGCATCCAACATATTCATATATATATCCCATATTTCTTTTCTAGACATTTACTTTCCATTGAACCCTTGGGATCAGCTCCTCTTTTTTTCCTTCTTCCCCGCCCCCCACACTTTGTGGCCCCCTTGAGATTATAGATTGTTAATTATTTTCAAATCTCACACCGACTGCTGTCTCCCTTCCCCTCTGGTTTCTGTTGTTCTTCCCCCTGGAGGGGTGTGTGTGGTTATGTGACATTCATTGCGATTGGTGACCCCTCTCTCTCCACCTCTCCCCCTCCCCCTGCCCCCTGCCCTTTTGGGATCTCTATTCCCATTCCCATTCCTGTTCCTGGGTTCCTTGTGTTGGAGTTTCATCTCTTGCCTATACCTATGTACATGCTCCGTCTAGTCTAGATTGGGAGGTGGCACTGGGGTTGTGATAGCAGGGGGTGAGGAGGTCGCAAGGGATCAGAGGTATATTGCATGACCCATTAGTGCTCTACTGCACCCTGACTGACGCAACCCTTCTGCGGGGGATGTTCCATTGTCCATAGATGGGCTTTTGGTCTCCATGGGCTTTGGGTCTCCGCTTCAACCCCCTCCTTTTCACCAGTGGAGTTTTGTTTGTTTGTTGACTGCTTGCTGTGAGTCTTCTGATGCCTGTTGCCCAGTCTCGATGACACCTCACGACCGCACCAGCTGGTGTGCTTCTTCCATGGGGGCTTGTTGCTTCCCTGTTGATGCAGAATTTTTTTAAGGGTAATTTGTTAAATTTATTTCAAGGTTTTGCTCTTTGGTTTTTTAAATAGTTTTATTGGAAAAATATGGAATGCTTCACGAATTTGCGTGTCTTCCTTGTGCAAGGGCCATGCTAATCTCTGTATCGTTCCAATTTAGTGCTGAAGCAAGCATGGTTTTGCTCTTTTTTTTTTTTTGGTTTTGCTCTTTTAAAGACCACGTATCAGTTCTTTGTCTCATCCTTCAGCTGAGACATGTGTGTAAGCAGTCATCACAAGGCCCCATGGCCTTATGGGTAGGACTCTGGAAAAGGACTAAGATCAGTGAGAGAATAAATAACCTTGGGAACAATTACTGCTCCTCCTGGGCCACCAGGGCCACGCGGACCACCTCTGCCTGGGGTGGAGGCAGAAGATAGTCTTGGGTAAGGGTCAGACTGGGGAAGTCCTGGGATGTTTTGACAGATAGGTGCCCTGCCAACTCTGGACCAACACTGAAAGCCCTGCTTTCTGTTATTTCAAAGCTGGACTTCCGGGCCCAGAGAATGACTTGGACCCCCATGATGGCTGAGGAAGGTGGTCTTCCCAGGTGGTGCTCCCTGGATCACAGACAAGTTAATGTGCAGTCTCACAGTCAGTCAGGGAGTCACTGGCTCAGCATACCCTGCTTACCAAGGCTTCTAAGTCAGGTCCTAGGCCGCTAGTATGATAGAGGAAGCCAGGGGCTGGGAGGGCCTGGAGCAGGTGCAGATGGCTGCTAGGGGCGAGGTGCTCACTTGGGGCCCCTCTTCAGGCAGTCTATAGGCTCAGACCAGTACTAGGGTCACCCAGCATGTGACCCTACTCCAGGGGACTGACATTGATCACCAGGATGTTCTCTTGCTGGAGAGCACTGGGTGGATTGGGTTCCCAGTGCAAACGGGTGAGAATTTCTCCTGGCCGCACCTTGTTGAAGTTAAACTGTTCCAAGTCAAATGGCTGCCTGATGCTCTGGGGACATCTCTGTACCCCTTGCTCTATATTCAGCTGAGCCACAAACCCCACAGCACCGGAGAGAGTTTGGGTCTGCAGTTACCCCAGGTGGTAACAAAACAGGCCCAGCTCCATCCTCTGTCTCCAGGAAGAGCAGATGGCAGAGTCAAAAGAAGGAGATAGTAGCAGAGCCCCCAGCTGGCCAGAAGCCTGCGGGGGCCTTTGCAGCCCGCCGGCCAGGAGTTCCTCTTGCGCAGACAGTCAGGAATGCCTGTCCTGCCCAGTCCTCCTTAATAGGAAACTTCATTTCGACCGTGCGGAGTAACCATGAGGCTGACCTAGGCGGCCAGGTAAGACTTCAGAAGGAGGCACTACCTTTGTTGGAGGGGCTTCAGTCCAAGTTGGAGTTCCTGCCGCTTTGTGGGTCCAGAAATGTACAAGGCTGTTCTAAGAATCGACTGGATGCTTGGCCTCCAGTGGGCCCTCCGTTAGTGACAGCGAAGTTATGACCCCTCCTGGAAGTGGTGGCAACACACGCACCGAATGCTGAGTGCTAAATCCTGAAAATCCTTTGCTAGACAGGAGGGCAGCTGACCCGCTCCAGCCACTCAGCGATCTCCAGGCGTGGGTTTACCCTGGCTCCAAGGTCCTGCCAGATGCCATCTACTCGAACTCGCCGCCACCGCCTGCAGCAAGTGTGCCAGATGCACGGGCTACTTCCTCCTCAGCTGCTAGGGGCCATAGCCAGGTCGCGACGCCTTGGACGCATGCGCAGCACACTTACTCGCACGCAAGCTCGCAGTGAGGCACGGCCTGCCGAGCCCACCCCACCCCAGAGGCCCAAGTCAGAATTGACATGCTGCTACTCACCTGCTGCCTTATACTCCATTATCAGAAAGCCAGGCCTTTGATGAAGAGCCAGCCGAAGATGGAGTTGGTTTTATAGACTCTGGAACGGGGCATGGAAGGGTGTTGAGTATTATATTTTTAAGGATTTATGTAGGCAAGTGTTACTGTTTGCCTGTGGTACCTTTTAACCTCATCCTTTTTTCCCTTGCCAAATGCACCTGTGTTATTTGAGCTTTAAATGTAGACTTTTCATTTATATCAATATATTGTTGTGGAAAACAGAAAGATTTCTCCCAAGTTGTCTCCCCCAAATATATGCCAAACTTAGCTGCTGGCTACACATGGCAAATGACTGTACATTTGGAGGTCAACAGAAGTAGATCAGGAGTTATTCTCCCTAAGAGTTATTAGCCATCTAGAGCAAGCAGTCACCACTGTTTATCCCACAAGTAGGACCCACTCCCTTCTGATAAGGATAGTAGTTGACTGTTTCCTTCTAGGAGACCCCAGAGAGGTCAAGCTCACCCAAGGGTGACCAAGGTTAGGCCGCCATCATGAATCTAGGGTCTGCCCATCTTGTCACATGTATACCTCTAGTCCCTCTCCTTCCTATGTGCATACCCCTAGCTCATCCTCTTCCTGTTATACCTATGCCCATTGTATAGCCCCCTCCTATTGCTTGTATGCCTATTGTACTGCCCCTTCCTGTGACATGTGGTTACGTATAATCACGCCCCCCACCTAAGTAAATATAACCCTTGGTTAGCAATAAACGGGGTGTGTCTAACCTCCTGCTGGGTCTCCGCCCCACCTCGCCTAGGCCCACACTGTGCGCGGACCTGGTTGGTAAGATCATGGCCATCTAGGAGGCGAGCATGCTACCATGAGATGTGTCTGACCCCATTATTTCAATTTCTCTTCTATCTCTCATGCTTTCTGAGGTAGTTAGTTTACTGTGCCAACCTGGCTGATAAACACACATGGGGTTAATTGAAAGGTGGAGGGATAAATGGCTTAGTGAGCCTCGCCTTTTTAGTTCTTGGGTCTCTTGCTTCCTGATGATCAGACCAGGGTACAGCTGCCTTAGCCAGTTCCCTGCTTTAGCTGATAAGGCTCACTTCCTGCAAGACATCCCTGAGGAGAAGCCACATGGACCTACCCTGATGCAGCCCTGGGTACAGAAGCACCCATGTGGAGACCCCTGCCAACACTTAGATGCTTACACATTCACTGATTCAGCTTTCCTCCTGCAGTCGGCATCATTACATCTGTTTTGTGAGATGGAGGTGGACTTTGTGAATTGGTGTTAGACATATGGGTTAATGGGTTAATGTTGGATTTGTGGGTTTCGGCAGCACTGGTTGGGATGTTTTCTTGATGTGCACTTAACCTTTATATAAAACTCTCTTATACATGAGTCTCTGTGGATTTGTTTCTCTAACACTCTATGACTTTATTATAATCTTTATATTTCTCAACCGTACAATTGGTGCTTATCAAACCCGCGATTAGTGGTGGGGGCTGGCATTTTCCCTACATATTGTACTGTAATTGAGGTGATTTTTACTTGTTTTAAGAGAAACCGTTTTGTCATTGACTTTTCAGTCTTACTCTTGAGTGCAAGCAAGGGATGAACAACATAAAGTCAAGGTCGGCACCCCTTCCTAGATTCATGTTAAAATGCCAGGAGTTTACCACCATGGCTTTTGCAACATCAGTGTAAGTACCAACCCAATGAAAAATGCAAATGGCATCTTAGTATTATTATGAAAATAGCCAAGGCCTTGAAGCTTCTTTGAGGGTTTCTCAGATTTCCCCGGAGATCACAGCCCACACTCAGAACTGCAGCTTGAAGATTCTTTAAATGACGGGCAATTACACGAACACTCCATAACCTTTAAAAACAGTGAAGTAGGCCTGTAGATGCCCACTTGGCATTTTTTCCAAGTCAGATTTCAAACGAGTAAAAACAAAAACAAAAGTAAAACCTTTTGTATGTATATATAAAACACCATATTGTTCACAGTAGTACCTTCTAGATAACTTTAACTTTTTTTTTTTAACAACACGTTGTTAGGTGCTATCAAGTGAGTTCTGAATCATAAGGACCCCATATGTCAATAGAACAAAACACTACCCAGTCCTGCACCATCCTCACCTTTGTTATCTTTAAGCCCATTGTTGTAGCCACTGTGTGGATTCATCTCGTGTAGAGTCTTCCTCTTTTTCGCTAACCCTCCACTCAACCAAGCACAATGTCCTTCTCCAGGGACCGGCCTCTCCTAATAACATGGTCAGCATGTGTATTTCAGTCTATCATAGTACTGCATTTTACATGGGGTTTCATTCAATGACTAATCAATTTTTTTTCTTTTTTAATGAAGCAAATGGGCAAAAGTGCCTCCATCCTTTTTTCAGGCTGGGATGGTTGCATGTTCTTAATGGTATCCTGGGGGTCCCCTGGTTTCCAGTGGTTTGTCTTTTAGGAAAAGAACTTTCCAAGTAGCTTGAAAATGCTTAATTGAAGTAAAGTAAACTAAATTATCTTGAGAGTTAGATAGAAAATTAGTTCTAGTCAGAAGTATGAATATGCTTGTGTATGACTAAAAGTTATAATAAACTTTATTGGTTTCCAAATGTACAGCTAATTAAAAAAACTAAAATGCTTCTAACAGTTGAAAGGTGGAGGGATAAATGGTTTAGGGATAAATAGAATTAACTAATGTTTTTGGGGTGAGGTTACCATAGAATTTTATACTCGCTCTTTAATGTTTAACAGGGCTAAAACTTTAAGCATACCAAATACTACAATATTCAAATAAAAACAGAATATTTAACAATTCCTTCAGGGAAAGACAAAGCATTTGGTATCTTTCCCAAGAAGAAACTGGTGTCTAAGCCAAAAAGGAGGGGACCAACGATTCCTTTTCTAGGAACAAAGGGGACGAAATGGGTGCCAGCTGCAGGAGGAGGAAGGACTTGCCTCATCCACTTTGGACGTGTTGAACTCTGCACAGTGTGCACTTACTACCTACTACAAATGAGTAAACTAATTTTAAAAGCAAGAAAGGCTTTCATTCAAAGGCAGTTTTTAAAAGCATTCACCAAAATGTAGAGATTGAGCTTCTGTTAGATTAGAAATTTCCTTTCCATTCCTTTTAGATAAATGAAAACAAGCATCTTTAGGTAGAATTAAGGGCTTAATAATAATATTTAGAAGTATAGTTTCATTCTTTAAAAGTTTCTTTGAGCTCTGTGGTGATTGTGTAATAATTACACATACAATATGGGTAGTGCGTTCATGGCTTGGTTTCATCCATGCAGTGCTTTGGAGTTTGGGCTCTAAAGCTTCATTAGCTGAAACGTATTGAGGGTAACATAAATGTTGTGTGAATGAAATTATAGTTTCATTATAATTACGAGGGGATACCCTCCCAAAATGCAATTTTTTTTCAAAGCTATGTATTTAAATTTTTTGACCAAACAACCTTATCACCTTCAACGTACTCTCCATTACATTTTTTTCCTCCATTATATTTAATACATTTGTCAAATCTGCAATTCCATTCTTGGAAACATTTTCTACTCCTCTGTTTGGATGGCTGACAGCAGCTCAGTTTTTTTCTTCACCTCTTCTAAGTTGTCAAATCATTTTCCTTTCATGTCTCTCTGCATTTGCAAAAAGAAGTCCCAAGGAGTGAGGTCAGGTGAGTCAGGTGCGTGGGGCAAGAGAGGCATGCTGTTTTTTGCCAAAAACTGTCACACTGAGTTGGCTGCGTGAGCAGGTGCATTGTCATGGTGACAAAACCAGTCCCCCGTCTGCCACAAATTAAGCATTTTTTGGTCACACTTTTTTACACAATCTTTTCAGAATCTCTAAATAGAAAGTTTGATTAATAGTCTGACTTGGTGGAATGAACTCCAAATGTACTATCCCCCTCACCCAAAAAAACAAATGAGGAGCTTTTTCCAGTTTGTTTGTTTTTGTGGGGGGGGGGTACCCCCTCGTATACTCTAAATAGCATGTAGCCTTAAATAGTTACTTTTAAAAAATCTAGAAAATATTGTAGAATCATATTGACCTATTAAGGTGATTCTAACTTTTAGATAATTTGCAATATAAATACTGTTTTTAATACCCATTTGATTTATTCTTTAAAACAATTTTGGAACTAGGATGTTCAACATAAAATTGCTTCAAGAGATACAAACTTTATATTTATTTCACATAATATGCCTGCATTTGTCCACAAAATGTTAAAACCTTAGACTTAGCCCCCCCCCCCAAAAAAAAATTCTCTTATTAAACATATAGTGTTTTATTTAATATGAGTATCTGTATCCTCCCTGGTGTTTCCCTGAGAGTAGAGTAACTAATAGCCCTGGTGGGGTAGTGGTTCATGTTGGGCTGCGATCTGCATGGGCAGCAATTGAAAACCAGCAGCTCCGATTACTCCAGGAAACATTTATAGTCGCCAAAACTTCCCCCTGGGGATCCATGTGAGTCAGCATTGACTTGATGGCAGCGAGAGAGAATGAGGACTATAAATACAGCACCAAGATACGGGGGCCAAAACTCAATCAAACTGTTAGTCCGGTTGACTAGAGAAACAAATCCAGGGACCCTCATATGTTTAAGAAAGAGCTTTATATCAAAGAGCAATTGTTTATTGAGAAAACATCTCAGCAGAGTCCAGATCAAGTCCATAAATATGATATTAGCCCATATGTCCAATACTAGTCCATACATTCATCTTCAGACTCATGCAGAACATGCAGTGATGCTGATACAGGAATATCACAGGCCGGTGGGTGAAACGTCTTGTGGATCCATTGGAGGTGGAAGCATCTCAGTGCTGGCGTGATGCTCCTCCAGCTCTCTGAGTGTGACTCAACAGGAAGAAAGTGAAGCAGAGAGAGTGTGTAGCCTGCCTTGAGGAGAGAGGAAGTTCCCAGGATCCTCATGAGAAGGCCGCACCCACCAGGAGGCATCATCAGGCTGTGACCTGATTGTCACCCCTTCATTTTTTCAAGTTGACATGAAATTAAGTAAGTACTACATAAACCAAACCAGACTTCTCAGTCCTCCCAAGAGCTTTGAGTATTCTTTCCTAAGCCCAGGATGAAGTGGTGAAATAGCCATTATGAAGTATCATTAATGAATTAATCTTTTTGATAAAGGATTTTTTAAATGCTCTAAATACTATCAATTTAAAACATATTTGGTGTGTTACTTGAAGTGTGTGTCTGTAGCTATTAGCGTTAGTACAAAAATATTCTCTACAAGAGCGGATAGGTTGGAACAGATAAAATTTAAAGCACTTGTATTGTGGTAAGTTTTAAAACACTGAACGATGCATTGAGTATATGTAGTATTGCATTCTCTTTTGTCTGTTAACTTTGATGAAAATTGATCATTGTACCCCAAGATTTATAACTAACATTCTAGGATTCTGTTAAAATAGGATTTTTTTTTAAAAAAAGTCAATTCCAAAACAAGTAAAATTTCTGTCCTTGTTAAAAGTAAAAGATACTGCATTTCTGTCCCAGAAATTTTTGTATATAAATTTTACGTTGAGTTGTTACAGGAGACCCAAACAGCCTGGAAGCACCGCTTGTACAGAACATTGGACATTGAGTGTTTTTGCATTTCATGAAGTGGATTTATAGATCAGACCAACCTCCAGTACTGATGCATAATCTCAAGGAAGGATCATAGGTGAAAACAGTCAACGAAGTAAGCCTATCAGTTATTTGAACACCAAGCTGCCTTGAGTTGAACATGAACTCAATACCTGGGCTAAAGATGTACTGTAAAGAATTGATATAATCACAAAAAATTACAACTACCTCAAAACAATTTACCCAAGTTACCAGTGGCATGTTTTCAAAAGACCGTTATCTAGTGGTTTTATCATCAGAGTCGGTATTTTAGATTTCATGGTAACACCAAATTGCATAAGCAGTTTCAATGGCCCATCTGCTCTTTAGGTGTGTTGAGTTCTTAGATCTTCATGAGGCAGAGTTATTATCCTCCCCAACACGTCATGTATTCTTTACTTTAATAGTCCTTGTGGGTATGAAGTGTTATTTCATTGTGGGTTTTGTTTGTTAGATACTTTCTCCATTTTGTGAATTGTCTATGCACTCTTTCACGATGACTGTGGAAGCACACACTTCCCATTTTGGATGACGTCAGGTTTACCTCGTTGCTTATGTTGGTGTCATTTTTTAAGACATCATTGCCTGGTCCACGGCGATGGCAACTTATCTTGCTCCTTCCAAGAGTTTGACACTTTTACTCCCCACCATCATTTTAATGCTCTCTTTAGAGATGAGCAAAGATCCTCTGCCAGACAGAATGGAAACAGTCAAGAATCATGGTGTCTTCCCTGGCAACTAATGGGACTAGGAACAGCTTCCCATCTAAAAGTTCCTATTGTTATTGTGCCCTTTCTGTTTCCCACCCACTGGCTAACAAGGGCCATATTTTTAAACCTCCTATGGAACAGGTGGGCTAAGGAACTCAAATGTAGTTTAGGGAATATTTGCAGAACCTGTGCTGTGTGCTGGATCACAAACAAGGTGTTGAGAGACACGTGCAGTTGGAGAGTCATTGAGAAACAGGAAACTATGCAGTAACCATCCTGGGTGGGGAGGTTTGCAGTGTGTAAGATTGAGGCCTAAGTGAAAAGCATGTGCAAAGGCCCAACACTGAAGAGAATATGAGAGGGCTGAGATCGTTCGGACCTCTAGTCATCAGACAGGGAGGGAAGCCAGCTAAAGAGCAGTACTTGAGGGAAACTGATGTGTGTGCGTGTGTGTATGGGAATTTAGCCAAAAAGGTAAAGAAAGCTTCTGTCACGACACAGGTCTTGAATAAGTTGCTGTGGCTACATTAAGGCCAGCCCCTGTAGCCTGTAGCTCAGTCTCAGACTGAACATGGGCCCTCACCTTCCCTTGACATGCTGGCGCCACTTCACTGGCACAAATGTAAAGCCAGCTAGATAGCCTTGACCTTTCCATTTGCCAAGCCCAAATTAAAAAAAAAAAAAAAAAAAATTTCAGTTTAAAACTTTGAAGAAGCAGACAGGCTTGAAAACAGATTATAGTCCAAAGTATCTAAATCATTTATTTGAAGAGCTTTTAAAAAGGTACATTGGCTACATCCCTACCTTATCTTTTTTTTTCAAGGTGTATATCTGTTCCAGAAAAGATTTAAGATAGTGAAGATAAAACTTCTGGAGCTGATGTAATTTTCAGACCTGGAAATAGGTCTTCGCCAGAGCAAATTATTTTGTTCTGAAAATAGCAACAACATTGAGATTTTACAGTTTAAGCTATTCAGGTGATTGTGGGGACACAAAGACAGAGATGCTTGGTCCTCTTTGTGAATTAGTCCGGAGGCTACTGATTCCTAGGAGAAATCGGTCTCAGTTTCCTTAGAAAGAAAACGGCATAAATCACGAGAACGTTTTAAAGTCCACATATCTCTTGACTCCTTCCTGTGATTTGTGATACAAACACCTTCCTTCAGAAGTAGGCAGGACTCAGGTACTCATTCTAGTAAGGTATTTCCCCATAATCATTGATGGATGCCAAAGAAAAGTTTGCTCTTGGACCTCATATTCATTTCTTTTAAAGCAAAAAATTCTTGTTTTTCTGATTAGTTTTAATTTCAGAAATTACATTAGACATTTCTTATTTTCAAAATCCATCTTTTACAGAGAAGACAAGAAATTTCTGAAGTCCATCTTTGGGCTCTTTTGGGATTCTTGCTGACTGAGCAACATTTTTAGTTGAGAAAAGTGTTTCTTTGTTTTGCTCGTACTTCTTGAGGAAGAGAAAGTGGGTGTTGACTGTCCAGGTGTAGGTGTTCTGCAAAGAGATATAAAACCACTCTTAGTTATACTGACAGATGACAAGGGAAACCTTGTTCCTGCTCAGCCCTGGTCACTGCTACCAGAAGGATTGCCCTCATGGCCACAGAGGGGGAATGGCTGTCCTGCCTTTCCCTCAGCAGTCATTCCATCCTCAGGCTCCTCAGGCAACATGGACATGTATTGGGTGGTTCTAGCACCCTTGAAAGGACAGGCTGGTGACTGGTGAAGTGTCATCAGGTCTGAATTCTCTTTTTTTCTGATGTCAAGATTCATGCAATCCTAAGCAAAGGTTTTTAAAATATTGTTTTTTCTTCACAGTTCAGGACCACTTCTCAGAAGTAAAGGATCTCAACCTACATACACATGTAGGTACCATCCCATTTTAATCTCCCGCACTAGAAGGTAAGCTCCAATAAGGGAAGATGCTTTGTATTAACTACGAGTTGTAACTTCTAGAGTTCAGAAAGAAGTACTCAATAAATACCTATGAATAAATGATTCCCTGTCTGGTGTGTGTTTGTATTTGTCTTTCTATTTCATATCTCCTGACCCCGTATTTGTGATTTGTCAGTCTGATAGCTCTTCCAAATTCCAAACTCTGTACTAAATATGAAATATCTTTTTTATTCATGCACATTTCTAGAAAAGCCTCAAACCAAATCCACTGCCGTCATGTTGATCCCAACTCACAGAGTGACCCTAAAGGGAGGGTTTCTGTGCCTAAATCTCTATGGGAGCAGCAGTATGGCTTAAACAAAACAAAATTGTTGTAAATTAACTATCTTTTTAAAAGAAAAATGTGAATTACTTCTGATCTTTTCAAATTTAAACCAAATGATCTTTTACCTACATTTATCTAATATAGTGGAAAGTTCTATGCATTCTTATCATACTAAATATCAACATCAATCAAGAATACAGAGAAAATATAATTGTCAACTAATTTTATACACATTCAAGGCCAATAATCCAGTCCTTGCTTAATTTTGCTACTTATGTTCAAGAGACTACCAGACTTTGAAAGGACTACAAAATTGTCAAGCCACTGGCAAGCTTTATTAATAAAGGAAAAGAGATTACCATGCTCAATTTCTCTTTTCGTAACAAAACTTTTCAAAAATCCATTTCCACTTCTATGGAATTAAATTAGCCTAGCATTTATTGACTGCCATACTGAGTAAAGTATTGGAGGTTACTAAATTTCAAAACATTTGCTTAGTTGTATTGCTAATAGTTGCATTGGTCAGATCCCTTATCAAGTAGATTGTGCAGGAATTTTCTGGTAGATGAAAGAGCAAGAGCCAAGGTTTCTGCTTAGAGTAAGTGGTTCCACTTTGCTGGCACACTGGCCAAATGAAGGCAAAGTGAGGCAGCAGGCTGACTGCCAGATAACGAGGCCTGGATAGCCATGCTGGAGCACGGAGTCCATCTGCTACAGAGGGAGGTCCCACAGGCTGCCCTCAGATCAGTCTGCTTAAGGAAGATGATCAGATGGTAAGAGTTTTAAACTAGAAGTAGAGAGCCCAACTAGGAAATATTCATCGTGGACCAGGGTAAACGGTGAATAATCAGGACCTGAGCCAGGTGACAGCCAGAGAGGGAAAAGGCAAGACGAGCTGCCGACATCTAAGTAGGATAGATAGAAACTGGCAATCGCCTGCTTAAGGACAAGAGAGTAGGAAACCTCAAATAAGCCTAGTGTTTTATTCCTGAATGTCTAGAAAAGCATGCTTTTCAGAAAAAAGATTTTAGGGGAGGATAGGCAGATCTGAATGAGGACAAGATGAGCAAAATTTAGGGGGTACAAGGGATTTAAGTGATTATATTTACCAGGCAGCTGGGAATACGTCCCAAGGTTTGAAGTCATGAATATACTTGCAAGTAGAGTTGAAATAGGAGTTTAGGACATTAGAGAAAAGAGTATGGATGAAAAGGGGGGGGAGGAGGGCTCCTCAGGACCAATATTGAGAGAGTAGCCATACCAGAGGGGAAGGGGGAGGTGGAGAAAGAAAGGGGGAATCCAATCACAATTAACTACCTTTAACCCCCTTCCAGGGGGATGGACAACAGAAAAGTGGGTGAAGGGAGGAGACATTGGTCAGTGTAAGACATGAACAATTTTTAAAATAAATTATCAAGAGTTCATGAGGGAAGGAGGGGAAAAATGAGGAGCTGATACCAAGGGCTCAAGTAGAAAAAATGTTTTGAGAATGATGATGGCAACAAATGTGCTTGACACAATGGATGGATGTATGGATTGTGATAAGAGCTATATGAGCTCCCAATAAAATGATTTTTTTAAAAAGGAGGGGCGGGGATTGGGTGGGTATAGGGGGCATTGTGTACTGGGAGGACCAATCCCTGAACTACATGATGTAATTAAAGAGTTTACATTAAACAGAAGAAACACTCAAGCATTCAGATTCAAACACAGAATTCAGGTACCTGAATATCCAGGCAGGGCTCTTGCCCTTGGAACTAGACAGCTCATGATTGCGGCTGGCAGAGCTCGGAGCCTTCCCCTTCGGGGTCTTCAGGGCGGGGTTAGCCGCAGGAGTGCCGCGACTGCTCTTCAGGGAGGAGAGAAAGCTTCTACTTTTACCTTGATGTTTAACTGTCTTGTTGCATGTTTTACAAGTAACCAACTACCATGAAAAGAAGAAACATCAAGCTTATTTCTAATTTAATCCAATGAAACACAAGCTCATAGAATTCTTACAGAATGCATGACCACCCCATGCACTAGAAAGGTGAGATATATATACATGTATATTCCAGGCATTTGGGGAGTCTGGAAGCTAACAACAGGAATTAGGTAAGACACATTTTTTTTAAGGTATAACAATCTTCAACAAAAATTAACGGCTAAACGCAAATGGAAATCTGTGTATAGCAGAGGTCTAACTTGCCTTATATTTTGGGGAAAGAGGCTGGATGTAGATGCAAATAAGTCAACAAAACAAACACCACCCACCACCCTTTTAGTTGATCTCTGATTTAAGTACATTAGCGGGTGTATGCTTCCTAAGGGTGGGGTCAATGTGGAGATCAATATTGCTCAATCTTGGCCCATCAGATATACTATTGCATGATTCCTTGTGCTCTTCCCCTCCACGCACAAAAGTGCCCTAGAGGTCAGACTTAAAAGAAGCTTCCCATATTTGAAGGAGGCAACCACAGGGATAAAAGAAACCATTAGGCTATCAGATAGTCTTTAGGTATCAAGTGCAGTTTAGGATCTTTCAATGGCTTCTGCTTATACCACGGCCAAGAGAGAGCTAGGCAAAGCATGCTTGGCAGATCCTACCAATTGTCAGTAAAAGACAAGAACACAACAGCATTTCCCAACAATTGCCAGAACTTCAAGACAGGATTCATAACTTAAAGTTTAAAGATTCTCTAGACTTGTGGGAATCATTTTTCTTGTTTTTAAATACTGTTCTCCAGGGAGTAAAAACAAACCCAACTTCTACTCACTTCAATATTCTTTTCTCCTTTAAAGTTCATTTTACTGACAAAAATTTAAATACACTTACTTGTGTAATCCTGGTTTTCAATCCAGGTTATAACTAAGGGTAGTCTGGGGCCAACCTAAGTTGCCATCCTGTCTAATGATCAGTCTAGCGCTCGGCAGTAGGTACCTGCATATATTTGATGAGCGGTTGACAGATGTTTGGCAGGACCTAAAACGTATCTTGAGCGTGGCTGCCATGCAATAGACTCTAGGTAATTTTATTTTGGTTTTATTCCACTTTCTATTTTTAATCCTTAGTTATTTGGCATATGGCAACTCTCAGATCTTAGTGAATGAACACAGAAGCAGTCATGTTTGTTGGAGAAACTTAAATACACTCAGACACGGGGGGGAAATGACTGAACAATGACATTGGTAGTTACATATACAAGACACTGGAGGAAAGGGCCACTAAGTGAAAAAGTAATTCAGGTAAAGTCATACTGGTCAGCATAAGACATTTATGAAAATAATTTGTTCTCAAATTTGATAATGATTGTGTAAAGAAACTGTTCAACATGAGATCTGAGATTTTTGTGAGCTCAGGGTGTTTTGTTTTAGGTATTCATGTAAAGAAAAAAACTTTATTATGAAGAGTTATCAGTAGAAAGAAAGATTATAGTGTGAGAATTCAAACAGACTACTGCAAGTCTCTGAGTTACTTCAGAGGAATTCTTAACTAATCTTAACTAATATTCTAGTTTATACACAATGCTGGAACCAAAATCTTACCAATACACTTTTGGCATCTTTGTACTTTTTCACAATTTTTGCTTCTTTAAAACTGAGAGTGTAACTTTTTGCTTCTCGATTCAGAAGTTTCTGTATTTTGGGAGTCAGTTTGGGCTTCGGTTTGAGGCGCACTCGGGAGTTATCCAACACCAGCAATTGGAAACAGTATGGACAGGTTTCTTCAAAAGTGTTCTTAGCATCTGAAATTGTACAAATGAAAGTCAAGATTCAACAAATCAGAGTACATTGTTACCTCAAACTTTACCAACACTTAAGTGTGAGAAATAAAAGTGCACATTAAGTTAATATGAGCAGAGAAGCATCCTCCTTAAGCAAACTCACAATAAAATTCACAAAAGATGAAGTGGCCACGATTTGACTGACTACTGTCATTGCCTCCACTCCTTCCAACAAGAGCCCCCCTTGTCAGTGTAGCCACACACTGATCACAAAATTAACAGAGCAAATTAGACTAATGTTTTGAAGGATGAGCACAATTTTATGGTTTGTGGGCTGGGGTCTGCCTGCATGTAGGCTGTGACAACAGATTTCCCCTAGGCCTTTCATGCCATCAAGAAAGCACTAGCTCACCATTTACCTGTGGAGATACATGCACGAAAGTTAAAGAGTTCCTGTCGTAGGAAGACTCACAATCTAGGGGAAAACCCCAACCACAGGAAGATAAAAGTGGCAAGGGCTAACTCAAATAGAGTAAAGGCAAAATGCCTTGGTCACTTAAAAGTGATGCATGGACTAGCAAGAACACTAAGAAGAGGAAGCAGTCCAGATGAAAACGGTATATTGGTAATGGGCTTTCAGGTAGAAATACTCTGGAAAGAGAGTATGGCTATGCAGGGATAGGTGAGGGTCTTAAGGTGATGTGGCTGTAGAGGAAGGTGAACTCTGAACACCTACTGTTAACCATAAGCTGCCATCTAATCAATTCCAATTTATATGGAACCTGTATAAAATTTAAGGCTGTAAGTCTTCAAAGAAGCAGACAGCCTCATATTTCTTTCAAGCAGCAGGTGAGCTTGAACTTTGGACCTTGCTGTTAACAGTCTAGCGCTTTCCCACCAGCACTATGCTAAGTGCTAGATACAGCACTGCCAAAAGCTGAGGGGATATACCCATGCTTCTAACTTCACTCTACCGAATGTGAAATTCATTCATATTTATTGGCTGCCTATTACAGCCAGCAGCTTATGCAAAAATTTTAGTCAAGGAAATCATATGGGGCAATTCGCTATCATAGGGGATTAATAGGATTCAACCCCATAGCACCCAACATTATGTTCTCAAATCACTGCCATCTAGTTGATTGCGTCGGGTAAAACTGCCTCGAGGTTCCAAGGCTTTATCAGGAATGGGAAGCCCCATCTTTCTCTGGCAGAATGGCCGGCAGTTTCAAACTGCCAGCCTTGAGGATCGCAGCCAAATGCGTAACCACTGCACCATCGGGGCTCCAAGTTATGTTGTAGATGCTGGAAATAAAGTAACGCACTAAGGACAAAAGTTCACAGACAAGTCAGGAAGAAAAGACGATAACGGGGGATGGCGATGAAATTGCTCTGATTTTAAATAGGCGGCCAGGCATTATGGATTCCACATTTGCATCGAGATCAGAAGGAATCCAAGCAGATAATGTGACAAGATTCCCAGCCTGAAGTTAGGGCAGCTGCACAGGGCCTCCAGCAGATCCAGGAAGGTCTTGTGAACTAGCGCGAGCTGATGGAGATCTCTGATGTAGGGCTTTGTAGTCCTTTAAAGCGGGCAACAGATGTGGTGTCAAGTGGCTAAATTTGGGGTACATTTTAGAAGCGATGGGGATCGCTGAGAAGCCGCTGACTGGTTTTATGAATGCATGGTATCCCTGGCATTTCTCTTAGGGATCACTCCAATCGCTGTACAGACGGGAGGAGGCGGGCCGCGAACAGGGTGATGGTTCTCCCTACCGTGTGATGAACTGTAGGCCCAGCTGTCAGAGAGAGAGAGAGAGACATGAGCGGGCAAAGCGTCGCCTTTCCCCACTGGCCTCCCGCTTCCCCTTCCCTCTTCTCTTACAGGAGATAGCGGGCTTGGCCCGGGCAGCTAGCTTGTAGTTTCCGCGCCGCGGCCTCAAGGTAATGCTTCTCTCTCATGGCGACCCGTGAGAAAAAGACATACCGGAAGCACGTTTTTCAGTGGGCCTTCATTTGAGATCCAAGCTCTCATTGGAAACAGCCGCCGCCGGCAGAGAGGTTCCGGTGAATATAAGGGCCCGTTTCCCGCGCGGGCAGGTCCAACCAGGAGGCGGCCCTCGGACACGCCCCTTCGTCCTCGGACACGCCCCTTCACCCTCGGGCCCGCCCTTTCGCCCTCGGACCCACCCCATCTCTTGCGTGAACTTGGGCCTGGGCTGAGGGGTCTCGACCTGGCAGGAGAGACAAAGTAAGGAGTGGAGAGTCTGCCCGCGCCGTTCTGTCCTCGCGTCTATCCCCGTTGTCCTTTCCTCAGGGCCCCTGTTCCCGCTGGGTGCGGTCCGAGGGCGCGGGTGGGAGCGGGCTGCGCGCGGTGCGGCCGAGCTCTGAAGCTGTGTGTCTTGCTCTGAGCCCGTCTGCTGCAAGAGTCTCCAATCCACCCTGCTTTCTAGAACCCTCCCTACGGTTCAACGGGCCTTATTCTCCTTTTTGAATGTGAAAAAAGAACACAATGCTCAAGACACCCATTCTTGTCTTTTTTTAATTAGTTGGGATTTAATACATATATCATTATATATTTCAATCACGTCAAGTGGAATTGTACAATTCCTACCAGTTTCCAACCATTCTTTGACTCCTTGACATCGTCTCCCGTTTGCCCCACCTCCGACGCTGTACCCCTCTGCCCCCAAGCCCCTTATTCTACTTGCTGTCCCTATAGGTTCATCAATCCTTGGTTCCACATACCAAAATATGGAAAAGCATACAGCACATTCTTTACTAGTCAAGCTAAACCATTGTTTGATTTTTGAAAAGGCTTCAGAGGGTGTTTGGCGTTTAAGGTCTGTATTAGTCTAGGTACTTTAGAGAAACATCCACAGCAACTCATGTATAAGAGTTTTATGTAAAGAAAGTGTGCATCACGAAAACATCCCAACCCAATGCTGCCCAAGCCCACAAGTCCAACATTAACC